TAAAAACATATAAAAGAGATAAGAAATATATTATCGGAAAAAATGTATGAATATGAAAAAATATATCACAAAAAAGTGTATAATACAAAAAAATTTTTTTTGAAGAAAAAATATTTAATTTTTGGTTTTAATTTCAGCTGAAGAAAAAAAATAAAAAAGTGAATGAACAAGGACTACAATAGAAAGAAAAAGTAATTAATTTGTTTTGAAAGGATGAAAATTGATCACAAAATTCTAACACATACATTGTTCCTGAATTAAAAAAATCATTTGGAAATATGATAGCTTTTAATAATGAAAAAACTAAAAGTAAAAAAAAGAAAAAGAAAAATAAAGAAACGATAGTGGAGGATGTGAAGGATGCTAGTTTGTGGACTAAAGAGAGAGATAATAGTGGAAATATCCAGCCGAGTCTACTTTATCTTATTGTATTTCATTTATGTCTCCTGGTTATTTAGTTTTCATTTATAAACTTTGCCCGTTTCACTTTTAACTTATTTATTTCAAAAACAATCCTAATTCGTAATCCAAACCTCCAGTGAGAGACGAGACTCAGAGAGTAATCCACGTTTGTTGGCTCTCAGTTCTTCGTCCATCTTCACGGGCTCACGACCTCTGATCTTCTTCGCGGCTCAGCGCCTTCGCACCCGGCACATCCGGCCTCTAGTCTTCACGGCTCAGCGCCGTCGCGCCTCCAGCCTTCGCGGCTTAGGGCATTCACGGCTCTGGCCTCTGCCTATAGCGCCACCAGCTTTCACCGTTCCGTGCCTCTGGCCTCTGTGCCTCCGCGTCTCCGGCCTCCGTCTCTGCTGCTTGGTTGCTCCACTGCTCTCTAGGTCGTTGTTTGGCTGCCTCGCTAACTAATTTACAGGTATGTGTTTAAGATTTTCGTGTTGTTGATGCCCTTTATTTCCGAATTAGTAGACTTCATATAAAAATATTTATTGTTTTTCTCTGATTTTATTGTGTCATATGTGGAATTATTAAAACTGTATTTGTGCATTTTGATAAAAATTAATACCACTAATCTGAGATCTATAAGTTTGAACACAACTTGATGCTCATTAGGGATATGTTTTGTGACTATGTTATAGTGAATAAGAGATCATATCAATGTCTACTCTGAGTTTGAACACTGAATTTGTAATATCAACTCATTTTGCCAAAAAATCAAATTACACATTGATCATGTACCTGTTGCACTTAATTAGGAGAAAAGTGAAAGAATAAAAGTTAGAATCGGCGGGAGAGAACTAAGCTCATCTATGGTCATATTCCCCTTTTCTCTACTTGAGATTTGTTCTTGAGCTTCAGGTTCTTGGAGTTTGGCCGGGTGAACTCCATTAACAACTTTTACTCGTAAATTGTTCAAACATAACTTGACACGCTTTGAGGCAGCAAGTTTGTCAACGTTATGTACAAACTGATCAAAGAGTTAGCATCATATATACTATTAACATTTTATTTTATTTGTTGGAAGTCTGTTAGAAGATTGCTTATAATCTTATATGCATAATCGTATTGTTGCCATTAGTGATTCATTCCTTACTTAATACAAACTTCTATTGTCGATTCAGACTGTATTAATTCCATCAGAATGAATTCAACAACTTTACACTGATTTTGTACAATGTGGGGATGGTTTAACACCTATAGTTGATTGAAATGGAGCTTTGTTCTTGCTGCTTCAGATTTGGGAAATGCTATACTTCTGAAATGCTTTTTCCTTCATGGCTTGTTTGGTTAGGGGATTTCATAGGGGACAAAAGGGGTGGAAAGGTTTTTTATTCTACTAATTTATCCCTATTTTCCAGTCCCCCTTCGGAAGGGTTGCTAGCTAGTTTTGACCTTTTAGTCCCCCTTCGGAAGGGTTGCTAGCTAGTTTTGAACTTTTAGTCCAAAGTCTTAACTCTAATTTTTTGTTTCTTTTTGTTGCACTGTATGTGTTGCTTTTTGTTGCATTGTGTTGCCTTTTGTTGCATTGTGTTGCATTGTGTTGCTTTTGTTGCATTGTGTTGCTTTTTGTTGCATTGTGTTGCTTTTTGTTGCATTGTGTTGCTTTTGTTGCATTGTGTTGCTTTGTGTTCCATTGTGTTGCATTTTGTTTCATTGTGTTGCATTTTGTTGTATTGTGTTGCTTTTGTTGCATTGTGTTGCTTTTGTTGCATTGTGTTGCTTGTGTTGCATTGTGTTGCCTTTTGTCGCATTGTGTTGCCTTTTATCGCATTGTGTTGCTTTTTTGTTGATTTAATTATCAAGTTATGTTTAAGTAACGGATTGGGATTTTGAAACATATGCTAGCTACATTTATTGGTGCAAGGTACTACGCAAAGCAACTCTAACAATAGTTGTAATGTTTCAGGATGTGATATGCTACTGTGACTAAGATGGAAGGCCTTGATACAGTTCAAGTGAAGCATTTTTGGAAGCATTTGTAGTTGCACTTGAAGTTAAAAATGTTATGACATCCCTATATGATGCTAATTAGCTATCAATCAGGCATTACAAGATTAGTTTCCACTCAGTTACTCATTTGACACGCCGCAACATTGCCTTAATTAGTTACTTATTGTTGATTTACACCTTGAATAATTAATCACTCATTACACACACACATCATCAATGCTCTCTCGAGGTAGTAGCAAATGTTTAAGTACAATATCATTGAAACAATTATTGTTGTTTTTTGTTGTTTATTGTCGTTTTTTATTTTTTCTAGTTACTTATGTTTCTATTAATTTTTGCTATTTTCATGAAATAAAAAATTTCACGAAAATAGCAACAACAACAACAAACTTGGAGAAACAAAAGGAAACAAAAATTTCAAAGTTATCAACAAAAATACACACAGTCCGGGAAACTGTGTAACAAAAAGCACCATTCAAAATTCAAATAATAATATAAATAATAATGATAATGATAATTAAACGCTATGTAAAAAGTTTTGAATTACAAAATTCAACATTTTCAATTTTTTTTTACATATATTCATTATTTTTACTTTTTAGTTTCTTTAATTTTTAGATTTTATAACAATTTAAGAATTTTATTCTCTATTTTATTTTAATATACAGAATCTGGTTTCAATTTTTTTTCACTATTAACTACATATATATATTTTTTATCCGTGACTCCGTGTATATTACGTTTTTTAAATGCTCTAACATATTATGTTTATAAGTTTTAGTTTTTAGATTTTCGAAAAATTACCATTTACCCATGTTAATAGTTTTAAAATAGGAAAAATTGACAAAAATAATTTCACCTTTCGCTGGTCTTCTCATAATAATCACACATTTAGGTAATCCCATAATAATCCCACCTTTGCACCCCATCTTCTTTCATTGGACCCTGACCATGTTTTTTACTCTTTTTTTGAAAATCATATAAATAATCTTACCTCTCACTTTTCTATTATATCTTTATAAATGTGAGATTATTTATATAAGATATATGAAAGAGAAGATTTAGCTGGTCTGTTTTTGAAAGAAAAAATTGAAAGTGAAAAACCTGATATTATTTTAAGTTTTATGCCTATACGGGAAAATTACCCAAGATAATATGATAGCTTTTGATAAACAAAAAAACGAGGGTCGAAGAAGTGCGGACGGGCAACTAGAGAAAGAGTGTGAGTTATCGTGTGTTCCATTTGTTATAAAACGGTACCGTATTTGGGGTTGGTATACCATGAGCATTGTATACCGATCTCACGGTATACTTTACCAGCGAGAGAATATGAGATGGGGCCCACCCAAAAATGAAAATCACATTATTATTTTAAAGATGTATAACTTTTTTATTTATGCTCTGATTCTTACAAAAAATATATCAAAATTCATAACTTTTTTATTATCTTTCATGACACCAATATTCAATATATAAAAATAAAAAAATAATTAACTCTTAAAAAATAACTTTTTTGTAAATGATCTTTTTTATTTGTACTCCGATTGTTACAAAAAATATATCAAAATTTATAACTTTTTATTATCTTTCATAAGACACTAATTTTGAATATATAAACCTTAAAAAATTAATTCTATTGATTTGTGCAATTTATAATCGATTTTTATCGTGGAAACAATTAGTAAGGAGTGATAGCTTAAAATAAAATTGCATAAATTTCATCACTATTATTTATTGTTTTATTCTTTGTGCAATTTTATTATAAACTATCACTCCTGATTAATTGTGTGCATAGTAAAAAACGATCATAAACTTCATAAATTAAAATAATTAATTTTTTAATTGTTATATTTTCAAAATTAATGTCTTATGAAAGATAATAAAGAGTTATAAATTTCATATATTTTTTGTAAGAATCGGAGTACAAATAAAAAAGATCATTTACAAAAAACTATTTTTTAAGTGTTAATTTATATATATATATATATATATATATTGAATATTGGTGTCATATGAAAGATAATAAAAAGTTATGAATTTTGATATATATTTTTTTCTGTAAAAATTAGAGCACAAACAAAAAGTTATACTCCGTAACTCTTTTAAATAAAAATGGAATTTCTTTTTTGGGTGGGCCCCATCTAATATTCTCTCCTGCTGCTTCACCTGCTTGCTTGTTGCTCCGTAACTTGATTATGTATATTTTTGGGAAATACTGCTCCCCTAACTCAGATTTAGGGGAGCAGTATTTTGGAATGGTTCCTAATTTTCTTTCAAGAACTGAACCAAACTCACTCCTACAGTATTCTTGGAAGGTCGATATATAAAAATCTTTTTTTTTTGTAAGTTTATCTTGTGTATAAGTAATAATGTATAATCTCATTGTTCAATTTTATTTATCGTAAAATGGTAAAAATCAGAATTTAATTTTCAAATCTGGTATTTTGGGACTATTCCGGTACGCGTTTCCCGACCCGGGCAATAATCCTGGTACCTTAGCCACAAATCCTAATAGATATAGTTAGTTAGATCACTTAATTATAGTATAAAAGTACTATACAAGAGTCCAAAATGTTAAAATGAGTGTCTCATATTCTAACTTCTTATATTGGGAGTTGATTGAAAGAGAAAATGGAGAGTGGTTGGATGAGAGAAGCTAAAAGTGAACATCTCATTCAGCCGGCCCAAGGCATGGAAGAACGGAAAAAGACAAAGAACAAACGACAAGTAAACTCTGATGCATCTCCAATGTGGAGATGGATTGCTATTCCACATAAGCCAATGCACTCTTTATTTACAAATGTAGTTTCCAATGGGCAGATGCAAAGCTTTCAAAACTTAAAATTGGATCTGTTGATTCAATATTATACGAAGAGCATTTCTTGTTGAAATCTTTTAAAGGTTCTAAACCCTCTATACAGATTGTGAAGTGGAGGGTACCTGAGTTAGATTCAAAGCTCAATGTTGACGCTTCTTTTGCTGAAGATAGGGCAGTGATGCGTTCCAGATCAGGGGATTTCCTATTCGCTCTACACTTTCCTATTTCAGCAACATCGGCTTTCGAGGCTGAATTCTTTGCGCACTATAAATCGGTGTCCTGGGCTATTGATAATGGATATCAATCCTTCGAGCCTGAATCGGATTCACACGAAGTGATGAAGGCTATTGAGGATACTAATTTGGCTGGAAGATGGAAGAAGATGGCTCTTGAGTTGAGAAGATGGATGGCCGAAAATGGGATAAGTTTTAGACATGTTTTACGAGATGTTAACTGGCCGGCACACTTTATGTCTATATTGTATTCAAATGATTTTATTATTTTTGACTCTATCAGGCAGGTGCCAGTTAATATTCGAAGATCGTTGTTAATTGATCAGTTAGGCCTAAGTTATTTTAGAATTTGTTTATTTTCTCCTGTAAATTTGGGTAAGCTCTAGCCCCCCCCCCCCCCCCCTCCCCCCAAATTCTTTTTTCCCTAATATTTATTTTCTGTTATCTTGTATTTGAGAAGGAATGCTTTCTCAGAAGAGGTTTTGGTCTAGTCCCCCTCTTCGTTTGTATCTTTTTTCCTTGATTATTAATAAAACTCGATAAATTTTCCCCGACATTTACCCCACCGATTTGGTGGTTTACCTACCAGGTTAAAAAAAGTAATTTCCAATGTAAAAGCAAATGGACCTAGTCATGCTTAGTTGACAATCACAAAAGAGAGACAAGGTCTAGCATGAGGTACCTTGGGTCTCACCTTGTAGACTTGGATGAGAGTGCACTTACTTTAACTTTTTTCTTACATTGAAGCACAATTTGATTGAACCCTATCATTTTTTAGAAAATTAGTCCATATATCAAATAGATCTTTTCCATTGTGTTGCCACATCATCTCCAATGCACCATTACATTGGAGATGCTCTGAAACTAGCTCTTTGTAAAATCTCCTTTTTTGAAAGTGTTACGCATGAAGTATTTGTTATATTATTTTATTTTACAAATATTATAATAAAATTTATAACTTTTTATGCTTTTTATAGTACTGATATATATTGCATAATTTTAATCATTAATATATATAATTCTCTATGAATAAAAAATTAATAAAAATTAAATTAAATTTTGAAAATTTACAATGAATCAAATTTAACAAAAAACTTTTAAAAATTATTTCTTGCATAGTAATAAATTAATAAATAAAGCGTAGTTAAAATAAAACATATGAATTAAATAAAACTCATCATATTACATTTTTTGAGAAAAGATGAAGTATAAAATTTTAAAAAAAATCTTAAAATGCAACCGTTGAAAAACTTTTACAAAGGGGGGAAACCGAGAGATTTGAGGGGTCTAAGTGAAAATTCTCTGGGAATAAGTTCAGACTTCAGACAAACGCGTCCTTGGAGTTTCCTGCAAGTCATTGACGAAGTATATATACTCGGTCGAAGAAAGATCAATCGATAGAAGAAAAGAGAAGAAATGGCGAAGACACGGTCGATCGGCGTAGCCATGGATTACTCGGCAACGAGCAAACTAGCTCTGAGATGGGCAATCGAAAATCTGATAGACGAAGGCGATCGAATGACCATAATCCACGCCGTCTCTCCCAACTCGAAAGCTGACCCCACCAACAAGCAGCTCTTTCAAGACACCGGATCTCGTAAGAAATCACGCAGCATCAAACATTTTTGAATTAACATGAATAATAATATTCGTTCTATCAATTAAGAGCTATCGATTAAAACTGCCATTGATTTGATTAGTGATTAATTGATTATTCTTGCAGCTTTGATCCCTTTGTCAGAGTTCCGAGAGATAGATTTGGGGAAGAAGTATGGTCTGGTCCCTGATGCGGAGGTTCTGGATATCCTGGACACGGTGTCGAAGCAGAAGAAGGTGATAGTGGTGGCGAAGGTGTACTGGGGGGATCCAAGGGACACGATTTGTGATGCGGTGGATCATCTCAAGCTTGACTCTCTTGTGCTGGGCAGCAGAGGTTTAGGGGCCATTAAGAGGTATCGAACCTTACTGATTCTGTACAGCCAAACCCATTGCTTTCTTCAATTTTTAGCGGCTGAAGTAAGAAGTAGTTGTAAATGGAGTTAGAACTGGTTGATTTTGAACGGGGACAATTTAATTAATTTATACCTTAAGAAATGAGGTAGGATAATATTTCAAACAATATTAATAAAAAGGGAAAAGTACGGAAAAACTCCCTGTGTTTGGGTCCGCTTTCAGATAGGGTCATGTGTTGCATTCTTTATCAAAGTAGTTTACGTGTTTATATTCCATTATCAGAAGAGAGGCACGTCGTTAAAAAAAATCTGAAAAAGACTTTTAAAAGTAACTTCGATTTTCAAAAGTGTCCGAAAAATTAAAAGAAAAATACCGAAAGGTGCGCCTCGTTAAGATGACTTCCAAACCACCTTCGCTTTTGGATTTTTCAGATCTGTTTGAATTATTTTTTAAATATATTTCGCTAATATCACTTTTTCGATGGACTTTCCGGTGACAAGCGTGGCTGAAAACAATAAAAAAAAGATGACCTAGTGGTCGTGTTACTGAGGCGCACCTTCCGGTATTTTTCTTATAATTTTTTGGGCACTTGAAAATCGGAGTTTCTTTTAACGATCTTTTTCAGACGTTTTTAACGGTGTGACCCTATTGTGATAACGGAATTCAAACACATGAACCACTTTGATAAACAATGAAACACGTGACCATATCTGAAAATGTATTCAACCACAAGTACATTTTCCGTACTTTTCCCTAATATAAAATGAAATTACTAATGGTGTAATATACACGTTAAGAGTGGCAGACCCAAAAGTTTTCTAAAGAGAAAGCACTGATGCATGGATGAGAATAGGTTGGGTCTTTTCTATGTAGTCCATTCAAATTATTGTTTTTAGGGATATTTTAACTTTGCATCCAGTTTTTTGGGAGATGTTGGATTTTGCACTCTAGTTTAAAAAGATTTAGACTTTGTATCATATTTCTCCTAAAAAGCCTTTGACTTTGCACTCTATTCAGAAATTTTTCTTCACAAAATGTTATACGATAGGGTGCATAATCTAAATATTTTGAAAAGTGAGGTGCAAAGTCAAAATTCCCCTTATTTTTAATCGGAAATAGATTATTCAATGCCGTTTTCAAGCGATGAATAATTATTTATTATAGGTGTAGTTTTGAACTCAATAAGACATAAGACAATTCTGAACATTCAAAAAGTCTGTAAAAGATTATAGTTGTGTATGTTTGGTATGACAAATTTAAATTTTTTCAAAATAAAAGATACTTAATAAGTACACGAGTACAAATAAAAGGTCTGGTCTGGGCTGGTTTCTGTCCAGGTTTACACGGGTCGCCGCTTAAATCCGGTTTTAGCTATATTTCCGATTTAGTGGTCAACCGGACCGGATAAATGACCGGGTGGCCGGGTTCTGGGTCGAACCACCCGGTCCGGTTCTTTAAACATAGCTAAATATGAGTCATTACGGTCATGTTTTGACAGTACCAATCTTTAAACTTGGCATTATTTTTCAAGTTTGACAGTAAGTACTCCCGTTTGGGAAATAAAAATATGACAATCTCATTTTGAAATTTTCAAACATTTTTATCCTATTTCGGAAATTTTCCCTAAATTAATTTTTGTTGAATGCAAAACAGATGTAGGAAATAAAGTTACGAAATAAATTCCTAATAACCCATCTTTAATTTTTCTTGCTAATTCAGTCAGTAGTTTTAAACCGAATCAAAACTTCCCAACTTCAAAGTGTCCAAAAAGGGACTGTATTATAACGCTTCTAATCTGATTTTTGGGATGTTTGGCCCAACTTCTTGAAAATATATTTTTGTGAGTTTTTTCAGTAATTGTTAGTTTTTAGTGACTAAAAAGATCTTAAAAGAAAATGGTGATAACTATTTGATTTAAAAGTTGTTTTGACTAAATAATGATAAAAGTTGCATACTCTTCTCAAATGCTTACTGAGTGTAGCTTCTAGAAAAGTACTCGCTTGACTAAGGTTCGAACCTTTTGGCTCCAGACCTGGGAAACTCCAAAAAACCCCATGCAAGGGTCAGCTGCGGGAATTCGCTTGACTACTCTGTTTTGTTGTGATCATACGTTACTTAGTTGGTCTTTATACCTTTCGTGACCTGCACCTTTTTTTAATAGTATTAATTAACTACTTAATTATTTAATTTATAAAACAATCATAATACATACAAACCAACAAACTTAATTTTATTCGCACACATTACTTAGTGGGTGTTATGTTCATTTTTTTATTCGCATAATTTTAATTTTTGTTTAGACTTTGTTGAAACCAACAAACTTTAATAAAATAGTTTTTTTTCATATATTGTATTATCAATTTTAAATTATGAGGTAATACAAATTTTTTATTTATGAATTTATAATTATATACATGTACACAAATATTCCTGTCCGGCCAGACCGGCCAGGAGAGTGGTCCGGCCACCTCAATTTGAGGTGGTTCTCGGTGGGTTTTTTGCTGATATATTTTGTGTATGTTCCTCATCAAGTCTAGTTCATCCATACCAAATTTGAGCAAACAATTTAATCGGGAAGGCAGTCAAATGATTTTTGAAAGATAAATGCGTTATATATATATATATATATATATATATATTCCGGCACAGTTATCTTCCAAAAATCATTTGACAACCTTCCCGATTGAATTTGTGCTGAAGATTTTTGTAGATAAACTAGATTTGATGAAGAACATGTCATAAAAATTTCATCAAAAAATTCCACCGGGAAAGACCCCAAATGCTGCCATCCGGACGGCGTTTCTAGTCAGAAAGGCCTGATTGAAAGATTACTATATACGTATATATATAATTATTGGTGTTGACCGGGTATCAGGTCATTGACCGGGTTGACCCGTAACCCAGTCATCTGTCCGGGTCGCTTTCCTGTCCGATTTTTTAAAAATAACTATTTAGGGAATAATAATTACACAAACTTTTTAGTCTTGTAATTTCCCATTAATTTATAAATAATAGAGCTACTATTCCTATCATTAAATTAAAACATCATGTCCTATTATTCTATCATTGTGAGATTCCATTTTAATTAGTTTGTGTGTTTTACATTCATAATTTTATGTACGTTTGAAGTCCGTTTGATCCTTTTATTCGCTCGCATATTTTGGGTCCATATATTTAAGATCTTGGTCAAACAATAGCAACATATTTTGGGTGCATTGAGAGTGGATAAATGAGTGAAATATACTTAAACCAGTTCCTTTAAATATGGGTGTCAAGAAACTTGTTTTGATAAGATGATGAGAGCTTCATAAGCTCATCTCTTATATATTGAATTTGTTTAATAGTTTTATATTTCATCACTATCAAACTAATGCTTGTACGTTAAGACGGGATTAGAGTGGTGTATTAATGAATGAATGTATATGGACAGGGTGTTGCTTGGAAGTGTGAGCAACTACGTGGTGCAAAATGCTACATGTCCAGTCACGGTCGTGAAAGGAGGACCATCCAAGCGCTAAGCTTTGCTTGTTCCCCGTGGCAGTGTATATGGCGTGTAATTGCATTGATGACAAGATGATCGAATAATAAACCTTTTATGTATCTATTTTCAAATTCAATATTACGTTCCTACTCGATTGTATCTTTGATATTGAACTTTCTGACTAGTTTATACGTAGTATATGTTTCAATTAAGTGATATGTTACGCGGGTATATTTTATTAGGAATTAGTGTTAAAATTTTAAAAGTTTAGGAGTGTTCGACGTGGATTTTTAAAAGTTTACAAAAGTCTAGGTATATTCAAGGGAGAACTATAAAATAAGCTCTCGAAGTTTCATAAAAAGTGAAAATAAGTCCTTTGTCCGGTTGTCGCCATTTGGGGCGTTTTCCGGTGGAATTTTTTAATGATTTTTTTGAGAATCTTCTTAATTAAGTCTAGTTTAACCAAACTAAATTTCACCTAAAAATTCAATCGAGAAGGCAGGCAAATGATTTTCTGAAATATACTGTGCTGCCTAATTACGTAGTTATCTTCAAAAATTCATTTGACTGCCTTACAGATTGAATTTTTAGCTGAAATTTGGTATGTGTAAACTAGACTCAATGAAAAAGATTCACAAAAAATTTCATCAAAGAAATCCACGGAAACCGCCCCAAATGGCGACGGCCGAGCAGAGCCTCCTATAAAAGGGCTTATTTGCACTTTTTATGAAAGTTGAGGGCTTATTTGATAGTTCTCCCTATATTCAACGTAGACTTTTAAATCTATAAAAGTCTAGACGTATTCAAAATTTTGTTCATTCTTATGACTTCTAAAATCATGGATTCTCATGAGCTTTTAACTCTTTCATAAGATTCATCACAAGCACGAGTCTTATGAATTTCAATATTGATAAAAACTGAATGTATATCCAAGTCTTATGAATTTCAATATGCGAATATAATATAATGTATCTCATTTTAAAATGAGCATACGACCAAAGTTGAATGAGTATATACTAGGGATGGACTAAATCGGGCCGGTCCGGTCCGTAACCGGCCCAGAACCGCTATTGTGCGGGCCCAGACCAGACCGGGACCGGTTGGCCGGTTCCGGGCTTTTAGCCCGTTTGGGCGGGTCGGGCTCGGGCCCAGTTTTGGACAAACCGGCCCGGGCGGTTCGGGCCGGGCCCGGGGCGGTTCGGGCCGGGTCCGGGTCATATTTTTATTTGTTTTTTCATTTTTTTTTCTTTTCCTAGGGTAGGGCTGAGTGTTTCAGGGAGGTTTGGGAGTGGGGGTGACGGGGGGGGGGGGTTCGGGGGATAACAAGAAAGCAAAAAAAAATTAGACATTGAACCGGGCCCGCCCCGGTTAGGCCCGGACTCGGTATCAACCCGGGCCGATTCCAGGCCCAAGTATTTGCAAAAAAAGCCCGCCCGGGCCTGGCCTGGAACCGGAACCGGACCGGCCCGGGTCCATCCCTAGTATATACAATTTACAAAATAAGCATCGAAAAATTCAAAAGCTCATTTCAAATCTACAATGTGCTCAAATGTTAATTAATGTTACATCAATATACATTTACTTCAAACGATACACTCAATATCGTATAACACACAATTCATTTTAATAATCTCCATGAGTAATCATTTCAGAACATTATATCAATACACATTTCCTGTAAAGAAAAAAAGAAAAAAGACAAAAAAGTAAACTAACTAAAGTAAATTAACTAAAGTAAAAGTAACGAAAAAGTAAAATAAAAGAAACGAAAAGAAAAAAGAAAGGAGAAAAAAAGTAACGAAAAAGTAAAATAAAAAAGACAAAACAAATATAAAAAGAACTAGGATGACGGGATGGAGGCTAAAAAATGAAAAAGAATAACGGCTGAAATAAATAAAAGCAACGGGAGTGAGGGAATGAGGATGACAGCAGAAGAAAATCAGCTTGGGATGTCATTTAAAAAGCGGGTGTACATGTACATTCGGATGTATAGTATAATTTGCTAATTAAGTGCTGTTTAGAACCCCAAACGATAAATTAGGGCGCTGATTTCGCGAAGAAGAAGCTCCCTCCAAATTGCTTGCTGCTGCTCTTCAAGTAAGTTTAATACTGATGAAAGTTACTTCACCGTTGTCGTTTTACGCAGATTAAAGGAGTATTTGGGTTGTTATTGTTTGTGACTTCTTTACCTACCCAAACTGTAGAGGAAGCCCACACTACATTCCCTACCCAAATCCCACACTCCGCAGATTGGGTTAGAGTGTGCATACTGCATCCATGAATTTTAGATTGTCTGACTTGAAGAAGGGTTACCATCGTCAACTCTCTTCAATTCTCTTCTCGTTAAAACAATTCACAGTTTCTCTTCTACGCAAATAAGAGCATCTTTTTATTGTGTTACTTGAAGAAGGCTTACCATCCTCAGGTTCAAGCTTTATCGCAGAGGATAGGTTCTACAGATGCGGATGATTCTTAGGTGACATTTTTTTAAATAAGAGACACTTCAATCGGTTGATTACCGTTCAATTAAGGAATTTGCATCTTTTCTAAAATTAGGGATGGATTGCACTAGAGGTTAGTTTGGGCCAAAGTAATTATCGAGGCGCGGATAATATTCCATCGTTAAGACCTCAACTGCTACGGAGTTCAAGATGAAGTGATGTAAAGTAGTTGAAGAGTGTCTGGACCGCAACTATGAGGCCTTGGCAGGGAATGTTCAAAATTTCCCGGAGATGCCTGATTGCTGCCGCTGTATTGGGCGGCGCGACCGCCGTCACATTCCAAGCCCGGGACCATATTCCTATCCTTTCTCCCACAGACTATCCTTTCATCAACGGTGCAGTTCGGTCCTCCCGCGCTCTTTTCACCGTAGGATTCTACCCCTATTTTTCATGACGCAACGGTCTTCATTTCTCTCTTCAAATTGTCAGTGCTTCTTAACTCAATGCTGCAATTTTTATTTCCAGATCACTTCGAATGTGGTGGACTACGTGTATTCTTTGCACGGCTCCACTCAGAATAATGAGGAGTATTTGCGCGCGCTTTCTGAGGTCAGATTTGCATTTTGTCTTTTCACTCAAGCTTTTGTTTCTTTATTATGCATACCTACCCTGGCTGCACAGTCCTCTTTTTGTGAACAATGTCTCATGGAACTGTTCATGAGCCCTCTATTACGTATTCCTTTAAGGTACATCTAAGGTCTGCAAAGAGACTACTGAAACTATGTGAAGCCAACAAAGGTATTTATGTCAAAGCTGGTCAGTTTGTTGCATCAGTGCGTGTCAGGACAATTCCTAAAGAGTACTCATCAACACTGTCATCTTTGCAAGACCAGGTTTGTACTATGCACACACCCAATTTTATATCATTACATTAACTTTTCTGTCCTGTTTGACAAACCTTATGATTCATATTCTTGATCCTTTGCATATGCTTTATTTTATTTTTCCTTTTGCTAAAGTGTAATGAATAACGCTTTAGGCTGTTCCTTGTCCTTTTGATTCAATCAAGGAAGTACTGATCAACAGTTTTGGTCCAAATTTATCAGAGATGTAAGTTATGACAAGTGGGGTGTGTGGGGATATAATATAATTCTATCGTGTCCTGTACTTATCAATCTCCATTCATGCTGAGCTATAATAATGTGTTTTCTGTGTTCCATCCTTTATTCATGAATAAATTTGATAAAATTTAATGGCTAATACTCCGTATAACCTAATACGCACCTATGATAATTTGTCCATTTTCTTCATTCTTTGGGGCCAACGCTGTCAGATTTTTTCTTCACTTTTTATTTATTTATTAAGCTTCAGGAAATGCAAATCTGCTTACCCGCTGAGAACTTTATGGGATCCATTTATGCATGCCTAGTTTTTGAGCTGTACTTGTATCTTAAAATGAAAAAACAAATGTGTATTACTGAAAGGAAGAATGTTTTATAAGTATGGTTTGTTAAAAAATGCATCCATACGACTATACGAGTTTAGTTTATTGCCTGTAGTATGTGCTTCATTTGTAGGTAAGTATGTTCAGTTAAGTAGTTCTTTCTAAAGGGAAATATTCTAGGAAAGCAAAATGTGGCATCAGAAAATCGTAGAACTGCCCAAACATTATTTTCCTATAGTTGTAACAAGGTCATAGCGGCTTATTGTTTTTTTCACTGAAATCAGATTCTTTTCATTTGATGAGCAACCGTTTGCAGCAGCTTCTGTTGCTCAAGTACACCATGCTGTGTTGAGAGATAATAAAGAAGTTGCAGTCAAGGTATATAAAGTTGGGTATACTTTATGCTTGAAGTTCCATAAATTTTGTTTATGCCTTAAATATGTTTATGTAGAGCTTGTGTATTTTAATGATCCATGCCATATTGATTCAAGGTGCAATATCCAGGACTAGAGTACCAGATGAAATTCGACCTTGCAACAGTGTCTTTTCTCTCCAAATCTGTTTCATGGGTATGAATACATCCACTTTAGCTTTGATTTCTTTTAATGGAACTTTTTTGTCTAATTTCAACCACTTGGTCCCTATTAGCTATTACATCTCCATTTTGAAGAGATAAATGTGAGGGAAGGTAGCTTTACTTAAATGCGATATGACTGACTTAATTGAGTGCGTATTCATTTCAGATGATGCCAATTTAATTTTTTTAATAATTTTGCTTCTCTTCCTTTTTTCCATATCTGCTGAAAAACTCATAATGCCCAGGGTTCGTGGATTCATGGTAACAATGAGTTATCAAGTTTTTCACCCTCCCCTATTCATAGTGATTCTGCTCACTTTCATCTTAAATGAATCAGTCAGCATTATTAATAGCGGATTGCCAAAATTATGCCATATGGTGCTGCACTGCTGCCATAAATTGCAAATTTGAAATTCTTCACAACTTTCATATGCCAGCCTGCCAAGTTTCCATCACCACCATCTTCCACGTCCTCCATTTGATAACACTGGACTAGTAGTCTAACACATTGACTATATCCAAATTGGCTACAATTTCTAATGATTTATTTATTTATTTATCCAATTATTTATTCAATTAGTTATTTATTTCCTTGAGAAGCTATACTCTATATGCTGTATTAGAAATTGCACAGTCCACCACATTTGCTGCATCTGCTCAATAACTTGTCATTTTTCCTATTTTAGTTTTTCCCAGAATGCAGGTTTGAGTGGCTGGTATTGGAATTTAAGAAATCCATTACTTCTGAGCTTGGTATGTGACAATGTATCTTCATGATTATTTTTCTTAGGATTTGCATAAGTTGGTAGCTCTTCAATTGGGCTCATGTGCTTGTTTTCTTTTGTGTTCAAGTCTGTTGTGATGACTATCTCTGACTTTCCCTTCATTGTAAAACTAATTTTTTCTTTATTTTATGATTTTTACATGTATTTTCTTACCCCACAAGTTAGTGAAGGTGAAATCTACAAAGTTTTCTTACAGTAACATATAGTTGTGAAAGGCCCATGAAGTGGAGGGTGTTGCGCCTCTACAAAGGCGATGTCTTCAATGTTACTGCCGTGTGCATCTAGGGGTGACTCAGCGACATATATAAATGGCTAGGACTCATGTCTGATTCTATATACAAGTATATAACAAATAATAGTGCATCATAAATTGGGTGGGTGTGCACTTGGCAATGGTGAATATGATTTCGGGGACGTTGAAGTCTGAATCTGTTTGAGAGAATTTCTGGATTTTCAAGGAATTTGAGCAATTTGTGTGCACGGATCACAGATTCAATGTGATGCGTCCAGAGAAGATAGTTATTCGAATCAAGTTTTATTGGAAGAGGATGTGAGAACACTACTGTTGAGGAAGAAGACGAAGTTGAATCCGAGTTTGTCATGGCTAGCTCGAGCTAAAGCTCTGATACCATATCAGAAAAGTAGCAGAGATTGGAAAAGGAAGAAGATTATTCTTATTGATCACACAAGGCAGTACATGTATTTATATTACAGAAGGCTTAACAGACTGTAACCAACTATTAGCAGCTCTAACCAACTAACTAACTATAACAGCTAGATAAAACTAGGCTATTACAATAAGTGTGAGTACAGTGTTCACAGTATTCCTAACAGTGATCACCTGAGACCACCATCGTAGATAAAGAAGACAAAGGTATGTGGGGAGATTCTTGGGTTGAAGATGAAAACCAACTTTAGATCCCGGTTATATTTAAACAACTCTGAAAGTTGTGGAAGAGTTTAGAAATTCAAGTCAAGGGAAAGGAAGTAGACTAAGGGTAGCCATTGGTTCAGCATACACAGTCTATAAGGATAGCGGATAGCCAGACAGTGAAGTGGGATAAAGGAAATAAAAATGAAATCAGGGGAAACTTGCCACATGCCCACATCAACCTAAGACCTTCTAAGTTTGACGATTGGCTGCCAACATCCACATGCTTTTTTGGAAATTTGGTGGTTACTGAAGTGCACGATTTAGAGAAATTTTGGTGGCTAATAGGGTTATTTTTTTAGTTTGGGGGGGGGTGGCAATTTCTGTCTTTGGGGTAGTATGAGGGCAATTTCCCCCCTTTTTAATGTTACTGACTTCCTATTTTGTTTTTCTTTTGTAATCTTTTGGGCAGTCCTGACTCCTGATTCAATTATTTACTACTCCATATAAGCCTTAATTGTTTAGATTTTATTTTTGTTATGAGTGTTATTTTGTGTATGGCGTACTATGATGTTATGTATTAATGTTTTTCATTATTTGCTTCTCTTGTTTAAGAGGCACACACCTCAGGTGCAAGGATATAGCTAATTGGATTAAGTAGAATTTTGGATATACAGTTTATGAGAGCAAAATACATTTATTTGAATTGAATGCCAAAAAAGTTCTCGTTGACTTACGAAAACCTTTCCCCTCAAAGCCTTAGAAGATGCAATGCCTGTAGTTTTTAAATCTTATTATCCTTCCACAATTGATGGGAGCATTTATTTTTATTTTTGTTTATAATTTTCTACTACAGTACTACCTCTCGCAACCTTGCTCATATTTACTTTCTAATATGGGGTAGGGTGGCTGGTGGCTGGTGGCAGGAGTGGGGAAATGCATGCCTGTATTTATCACATATTTTTATGAGGTTTCTTTGGAATGGTGTTTCTGATGTTTTCTTTTTTCAAAAGCTAGTGTCAATCTATGTATTGTATACCTCTGTTCTGTAATTTGGCAGATTTCATTGAAGAGGCTAAGAACCTCGAGATAATGTTTAAAAACTTCAAAAACAACAGCATGATTAGGATTCCTCAAGTTTTTTGGGTATGACAACAAACGCTGTGTTAGCAACTTGCCTTTTGCTTAGCCTACCATTTCCGAACATTTATAGTTCATGTTCTCTTCTTAGTATAGCTACAAACACTGTAACCATATGCAGGATTTCACAACAAGCAATGTTTTGACGATGCAATTTTGTAAGGGTCACAAGGTATTCTATTCTGCCTGCTTTTTTTTGCATGGTGTGTGCATGTATACTTTTGACTCAAAGTTCTTGATCAAAGTATTACAGAGAATTGATTTACTCTTTCCTTTTGACATCGGCTAGGAATTATAATTGAGGAATTCTACTAGAATTATCCATATCTTGTAAAACTTTTGGATGTAGTATTGTTGTTCCTTCTTTTCTTTTGACTTTACTGAGATGTTTAAGCTTCTCAAGGGGGAAAGGTTGAAAACATCCATGATATTTATGATTAGGGTGTTGGTGCAGTACCGGGTCTATGGCTGCTACTTGGAGGTTGGCATTACAAATGAGGAAGAAGGAAGACGTGGTGGTTTTTTGGCAATTTTGAACCCTATTGTCCTTGACAGAGCGGGCACCAGAAGACTTGACCTTATCTAAGTCTTATCACTTTTGAAGCCTGAAATTGTTTCTCTATTAATGGATTCAAGACCCTATTTATATCACTCTCAAATCTCAATATTCTTGGAGAGGAGTCCTAATAAAATAAAATCACGCTAAAGGAAACTAAGAAAATACAAATACTAATTGGACTGATACCAAAAGGATAGAGTAATCATGTATCACAACTAACAAAACATGCCTGGTTTCCCTAGGAGTCATGCTGATCTCTTAGACACAAGTCTTGTATCGGCTGTATGCATTTCCTACAAATGTGTCCACATCATTACTCCTCCCTCCATTAAGTAAGTGTTTGTCCTCAAGGTTCACGATGAAGTCCAGTGAATGCATTCCTGATGGCATACATTGTTTCTCAAATGGCTTCCTCCCACTGGATGGAGGACCTCACGTCAACAGTGGTTGAGATGGCTGCCCATGACCGTTTACTGGTTTGGGAATGATGGTGTGGTCTACAGTATGTGTGTCAGGTCGGTAATGCTCATGTGCAGCTTCAATAAGGAGGCATGAAAAAAATTGTGAAGCTTGCCCTGCGGTGGTAAGGACAAAGGATATGCAACATTGCCAATGCTCTCAGTAACCTCTAACGTGTCTTTATACTTAGGCTGGAGCTTCTGGTGGGGACGAACTAGAAATTATTCAAATGCATCTATAAAGTACATTAATTTAAGTGTATAAATTATACATTTGGCAGGAGTGTATTTGAATCATTCCCAAACACCAAGGGTGTATTTGTGCCTAAAACACCATGGGTTCTTATTTGAATATTTGTACATATGAGTTAACCTTAGGGGAGTCGGTAAGTTCCATGATTGCATGTTTGTTTTGCAATATTAATCATGTAATGGGAATGATGACAGTTTTGTAAATTTCATCTCACTTTTCTTTCTTAAGAATGCTGCAACCCTAAGAGCATCCGGTGCAAAACATTGCCGCTATGCTTCTTTGCATGAACGTTATAATATTGGCAATTTCAAACAATTAATTTGCATTATATTTTTAAGTTCACCACTCACCAACCTCAACTAGTTGCTATTAAGGTGCTGATGTGATGAACTGATGACAATGAATAACTTCAAGGGTTAGTTTGGGAGTTGATTTTTGGAGGACTTTGGAAGGGAGGGCCATTGTTATTCTAGTTACATATTTGAGATTTTATAAAACAAAAACCAAAGGTATAACATTACTAATTATAAAACAATATTTAATCAGCCTTTATTCATTTTAGAGACATTCTGTTGATCAAGATATAGACCAAGGCCTCCAAGTATTTTTTCACCCCCTCTCCCGAAGGGGGTGTATTTTACACTTTTTCCCTAATCAAACACTATTGCCCGGTTTTACTGTCAATGTTATTTTTTGTTGTTCAACTATTGTTAGGAATGTGCCATTAACAAGAAATATGTACCTCCCAGGTCGATGATTTGGACTTTTTGCGGCAGATGGGGATAAATCCATCTAAGGTTGGTCTAACTTCTCCCACTATCCCCGTTGCATGAGATACCAGGAACTTTGTCTTTATTGTCTTCTCTTGTTTGCTCCAGCCACTCCCATTTCCAGCGTAGTCTCTTTGGTGTTGTAGGTCGCAAAAGCCTTAGCGGAGGCCGTTTCAGAAATGATATTTCTCCATGGTTTTCTACATGGTGATCTACATCCTGGTAATATACTAGTTTGCCCGGAAGGATGGAATGGTTTTTCTCTAGGTATGTATGTTATGGAACTTTTTAAATGTTTACTTCTTTGCTTCGTGGTTGATGAAAATTTAGATCTCCCCTGAAGTATTTCTTTAGTAATAAATCTATAATAAAATAAATGCAGTTCTTTTGGATTTTGGGATTTGCAAGAAATTGGATGAAGCTTTCAGACTGAACTTCTGCCAACTATGGGAGGCTTTAATATTCAAGGACTCTAACAAGATCCAACAGCTGGGTGATTATTTTGGTGTTGGGAGGTATTCCAGATACTTCCCTGTCATATTTACAGGAAGAACAATTGAGAGGTGATGCTATAGATTTTTTTTTGTTTCATTACATTCGGAATGATGGGTCTTATAGTTTTAGAAGCAGTAGTATGCTTCTATGTCATTCACACGAAACTATCAACAACAACAACAACATCCAACCCTTCATCCCAAAAGATTTTGGGGATTCACACGAAACTATACGTGTAATAAATTGTCGAGTAAAAGTGAACCTAGTGTTGAAATAGGTACCTGGCAAGTATAATATAATCAACAGTTGAGAAGTGAGAATTAATTCTTGCTATTTCTTCGGACAGTAAATCACCACTTTCGAGGGGAATGTCAGATGAAGAAAAGAAGAACCTAAATAAGGAATTGAAGTCTCTCAGAGTAGAAGACATATCCTCATTTATGGAATCACTACCTAATGAATTTCTTACGGTATTACGCACCGAGTAAGAACGCGATTACATTACATTATACTCCATAACTAAGTATAATGCGGTTGGGTGCTCCTTGGGTATTCCTTGAGATTCTCATTTCCTTATTTCTATATTTATATATTCAGTGGCCTCCTACGATCTTTGATGAATAAGTTGGGTGCTTCCCAGCAAATGCGGTTGCTGGCATATGCTAAATTTGCACTGCACGGTCTCTCTCTGAAGTGCGATTCTGGGTCTGGTAGGCTTCAATGAAACATCATAGGCTAGACCTTGTTTTCTTAACTTTTTTTAGAAATAATAAACCAAGTTAATGTTGAAGGATTATGCAAACTAAATTACCTCAGATCGTATGTTCCGTCTTTTTTAGTTATTTAATTAATTAGTTGGTGCTTACTTTTGCCCAAATCTCTCCAAGGATAAAGGTTTTAATTGGATTCTATTCTTTGCCCTGCATCCAACACGGCAACGTAGACCCATAAAAGAAAGGAGTTGCCTCCTTCAATACCTTTATATATACAAATTGTCACTAGGATGAAAGCAAGTGAAAACTAGTATTTTATTTGTCTTCACAAGAATGTACTTGCTTATTATTTGTAATAATACATTTTGTTTTTATTAAAATCAACCGGACCAGCTTGGTCCCTATAAGGTACCAGTTCCACTCAATCCATACTGTGATCTGGGCGGTCCAGAACCAGACTGGTCCACCCCTACCCCAGGGTGGTGGAATAGGATGCTAATCGTGGGATTATATAGCTAAGGTCCCACCACCTCACATTGAAGTTGAAGGTTTGCTATGACTTCAATCCTACTTTATCCTCCCATTGACCTCTGCCCCATGGGCAATAACGTTTATACTACGTATTTAGTAGCACAGCTTGGCGGAGTAGATAACTGATGGGACTTGTAATTAAGAGTAGCTTCTTTTCCTTTTAGAATATGCAATTGAAGAAGTCTACTTACGGTTCAAGAACGGGATTCGATACATTCAACTGAGATTACGTTTTGGTGAGAATGTCATACCTTACTGCTATAACATAAGCCTAAGCAGCCTGTGAAAACACGAAATAGTTGAATTGCTTAAAAAAAAATTCACCACTGGTTTCACTTTTCCAGCAATGCTGAATCTCATATCTTGGATAGACAACATCCAACATGCGTCAGCTGAAAATTTGAAATGTATCCTTTCTTCAGTAAGCAATGCAGTGAGATATGTATTACCCTCAACACACTGAGGTGGCGCCCCTCCACCTGTATTGTGCTCCTTACCAAGATATGCATTTCCTCCCAAGAATGTTCTTTTTTACCGGTAGCTTACCCATTGACTCGGAATTTAGTTTGTAGTCATTGAGTTGCTATGATTTATGCATTTCCTCCCAAGAATGTTGTCTTTTTACCAGTAGCTTTCCCATTGACTCGGAATTTAGTTTGTGGTCATTGAACTGTTATGATTTATTAGCCTATTTAACTGAGCAAATGAGAAATCATTCATATTTTAGAGTGATCAAGTTATCGACGCATTAGTAGTTTAGTACTATGTCATGTTTCTCTTTAGCTTTTTTTTTACTTAGATATTTCCATCGAATGGACATGCAATTGTCCCGCAAACACAATAAGTAGGGAAATGTATCAAAGAAACGGTGCTCAGTGAAAAACTGAAATTTTAGCTTTTCAGTTGCGTTTTCAAGGTCTCCAATATGCATAATTGATCTCAAAATTTTAAATACATCAGTAAACCTCATTAAAAGTTATTTTGAAACACACATCTTGAAAATGACAATTCAAATCCATCTTCATATACTCCACATACATAGTGTTCTTCATTTTATCAATGAAATCTATTTTGATAAAGCTTTTAGAGTTTTAGGGAATCTTTATGTTCCATCACTAAATTGTTTGTGCTTTATTGCTATGAAGCAACAATAATCAATACATGCAATTTTCAATGTGATTTTCATCATGAGTCATTTAGGAACCGTCTCTGTGTTTTAGTATAAGAATATGTCATTTAAAGTTTTTCATGAGATTTGAAAAAGTTTGTCATTGCAAAATTTGTGTGACCCATTGTCAATGCAACACTTGAAACCTTTTCAAACTTTAGAATTCTAATGGGGATTGTGTCTTGCTAAATTATTATGGATGTTTTTACTTAGATTAGTTTTAGTTTCAGTCTTTCAGACCAGAACAAATCATACTAGACTTAAACAGATTAGACTAGAAAAAATTTAAACAAACCAGATTTCGACATTTGTAAAATACATTGAGACTAGGTACCTACAAGTCACAATCATCTAAGTATTGGATGATTGATCGAGCTTGGGAGCTTGGGAGGTCGACATGTTCAACTTAGAGGTTGTCCATGATGGGTTTGGTTCGTTGAAGGGCCCTATATATTAACCATTGAATTAGGGATGGATTCGGGCCGGGCCTAGGCCCGGTCGGGCCGCCGGTTCAAGAAAAGTGGGCCCAGGACCGGCCCGAGGGTTGGACGGGTCCGGTTCGGGCCGGGCCACCCGCCCGGGTCACGGGTCGGGTCCGGTTCGGGCCGGGCCGGTTAATTTTTTTTTTTTATAATTTATATTTTATAGTTTATAGTTTAAAACAAACTTCAATTGCATTTATTTGAAATGAAATAGGAACTACATTTGAAAATTAAAACAAACTTTAAGAGATAAACATTTTGAAAATTGTAATCAATCGGAACTTCCTGCTCCCGATCCTTTGGCTTTGTCACATGACTTCATATGCTTGATTGCCATCCCGAATCCGCCTGAAGCCCTCATGATACATTTTTTTTCGCACCATTTGCAAATTACGTACCACATCCCGGTCTTCGGGTCCTTCTACTTATCAAAATTATACCGTATAATGGCATTTTGATTTTCCATCTTAACTTCTTGGAGAAGAGAATTAGAGAGTAGATATATAATATATTGGAGAATAAGAGAATTAGAGAGTAGAGAGTTAAGAATAGGATTTAGGAAGAATTGGAGAAGAGATATGAAAAAATGTTTAAGATTAGGAGTATTTATAGGTTTTTTTACCCCCACCCCCACCCCCCCACCCCACCCCCCCTACCAGCCAACCCCCCCGGACCCCCCACCTTTACCCCACCCAACGGCTATATAGCCGTTTGGGTTGTCCCCAGCCCCACCCCCAACGGCTAGTAGCCCAAGATTTTTTTTTTTTTTTTAAATAGGACCGGACCCGGGCCGGGTCACATTATTCCAGCACCGAGCCCGCCCCGCCCCTTCCCATCGGTTCGGGCCCATACCCGGTCCCGGACCGCCCAACCGGGCCGGTCCCGGGCCCGCACAGTACCGGGCCGGGCCGGGTCACGGGCCGGGTGCCCCGAACCGAATCCATCCCTACATTGAATGTTGTCTAGTCCTCTAGATTAGCTGATTAGGGGTATTTCGAACTCCCGAGCTATCAAGCTGGTCTAATGATCATATGATTGATTAATACTACTTATGGCTTTTCAAGTAAGAGTTTATTTTATGTATTATTATACAATGTGTTAAACTAATTAGAAGCCTCCAAATAAGTTCAACAATACATATAAGAACTAACTAAAGCTACCTTGATGGAGGATATTTGAGATTTAGAGCGTCTTTACCTCTTCAGATGTAGTAGCAATTGTCAAGAATCTTTCCAATGCAAATCCAATATTCACTATTGAGCCAGATGATTGATTAGTACAAGCACTATTTTTATATACTTTTTCCATTTTATTTTTTAATTCTTCCCATTAATATCTTTCAACGTTTCCAGTAAAACTTCTGGTAGTCGACGTGGCGGATCCCAGTGGCTTTACAATTATTTTGGAATTTGTTTCCAACCGTAGTTGTCAGAAGTGGCTATGGAAAGGGCACATGGGTAAATGTTGGAGTAAGAAACATTTGAAATGATTTAGAGTTTTAAAGGTATTTATTCACTATTTTAGAAAAAATTATTCATTGTTGTGAAATGAAGAGGATGAAGACTAAACTTAAGAGATAGATATATTAATAAAAGCTCTGAATATATTCTCCTAAATCTCTGAATATTTTCTGAATTTCTAAGTGTCTTTACAAGGCATCACCAAACCCCTATTTATACAGGTGGAGCTTGGTGATGAATCATCAAAGAATCATTCTAGATAATATGCTAGCAACATTAAACCTAGCCATCTGTCTATTACAAGGATGAAAATTGGATTAGTGTCCTGATGATAAGGATGAATAATTCACACTTGTCATTCTCAGGAATTTACAACACTCCCCCTTGAATGTTCATCCTTTAATAGTTATTTATTTTAAAAACTTATTGTGAAATTAAGGGGTAAAAATTACAACTTATAATGTCGTTGTATTTGGATGTACTGTCTCGTTAACAACCTTATCAGGAAAAACCCAGTGGGATAAAAATCTGATGAAGGAAAAAAGAGTGCAGTGCATTCAAATACTCCCCCTGAACTTAGGCTAAATTTTGAAGGCGACTCATGCAGATTTTCTGTACAAGTTCTATGAACTTCTTCGGGGGTAAAGATTTGGTGAAGAGATCGGTCGGATTTTCACTGGATCTGATTTGTTGAATGTTGATCGTCCGTTCTTTCTCCCGATCGTGAGTAGAGAAGAATTTTGGTGATATGTGTTTTGTTCTGTCACCTTTGATGTAGCCTTCTTTAATCTGAGCTATGCACGCAATGTTGTCTTCGTAGATCACAGTAGGTTGAATAGTAATAGGCTTCATACCGCATTCATTTTGGATGTGTTGAATCATAGATTGCAACCATACACATTCTCTTCCGGTTTCATATAGTGCAATTAACTCAGAATGATTTGATGATGTAGCTGTCAATGTCTGCTTCATAGATCTCCATGAGATTGCGGTGTTACCATAAGTAAATACATACCCGGTTTGTGATTTCACCTTTTGAGGATCTCATAAGTATCCATCGTCTGCATATCCGATTAAAGTGGCTTTTACATCTTTGTGGTAGAATAGGCCGAGATCAACTGTACCACAGAGATACCGGAATATGTGCTTGATCCCGTTCCAATGACGCCTTGTTGGGCATGAGCTGTATCTAGCTAATAAATTTACAGAAAATGCAATATCTGGTCTAGTATTATTAGCTAAATACATTAAAGCTCCAATAGCACTCAGATATGGTACTTCAGGACCGAGTATTTCTTCGTTGTCTTCTCGGGGACGGAATGGATCATCATGTATGTTGAGAGATCGAATGACCATTGGTGAAGTCAAAGGATGAGCTTTGTCCATATAGAATCTCTTCAAAACTTTCTCGGTGTAATTGGATTGATGGATGAAAATTCCATTCTTCAAATGCTCAATTTGAAGTCCGAGACAAAATTTGGTTCTCCCGAGATCTTTCATTTCAAATTCTTTCATAAGATATTTTGCAGTATTTTCAATTTCATCGGGAGTTCCAATAATGTTTAAGTCATCAACATATACTGCAATTATGATGAATCCCGAATTTGATCGCCGAATGAAAACACATGGACTAATCGGATCATTCTTGTATCCTTCTTTGAGAAGATATTCACTGAGACGATTATACCACATTCGTCCAGATTGTTTTAGTCCATACAATGACTTTTGTAGTTTAATGGAAAACATTTCTCGTGGTTTCGAGTTGTAAGTTTCAGGCATTTTAAACCCTCCAGGAACTTTCATATAAATGTCTGTATCGAGTGAACCGTATAAATATGCAGTCACTACATCCATTAGGCGCATTTGCAGCCTTTCAAAAACAGACATGCCAATGAGAAACCTTAATGTAGTTGCATCAACTACTGTAGAATAGGTTTCTTCATAATCAATTCCCGGCATTTGAGAAAACCCTTGGGCAACAAGTCGGGCTTTATATCTTATAATTTCATTTTTCTCATTGCGTTTACGCACAAATACCCATTTAAAGCCCACCGGTTTTACGCCTTTTAGCGTAGGGACTATCGGTCCAAAAACATCACGTTTTTCAAGTGATTTTAATTCAGCCTGAATAGCTTCATTCCATTTTGGCCAATCGTGTCGTTTCCGACATTCTTCAATAGATGTTGGCTCATTGTCATTGTTTTCATTCATAACATTTGTGGCAACGGCATAGACAAATATCTCATTAATATCAATATCTTTTCGATTCCATTGTATTCCAGTAGAAACGTAATTTATTGAAATTTCATAATTATCAACGTTTCTATCATTATCTGGAATATCTTCCTTGTTTAAGGAAATTGGATCATCATTTGAGATGTTTGTTTTGTCAATATCATTTTCTATTCCAGTATTTTACATTGTTCATGTTCTTGTTCAGAAGGATGAACATCTTTGGCATCACATGCCAATTCCTGCCTTTTAGTTTTTCTTGGTTTTATATCTTTTGATCCAAGTGGCTTGCCACGCTTTTTGCGTATAGAAGAATCATTTGTAAGAGATTTTTCAAAATTCTCTGTTGGAATTTCGATTCTGGCAGGAGCATTCATAGCAGGAATATGTGACTTTGTCACTT